GTCAGAGAGTAGTGAGAGAGATAAAAAGTAGATAAAGTGAAGATGGAGATGCAGAAGAAAATTGATGAGAGAGAGGAGGAGAAATAGAGGGAGCAGAGAGAGAGAGAACATAAAGAGAAGGAGAAAGAGAGGGAAGAAAGAAAGAAGAAGGAGAAAGAGCTTAAAGAGTGGGAAGAGAGAGAGAGGAAGAGAGGGAAGAGAGAGAGAGAAAGGAGAAGGAGGAGAAAGAGAAGAAGGAGAGGGAGCAGAAAGAGAGGAAAGAGAGAGAGCAGAAGGAGAAAGAGGAGAAATAGAGGGAGAAGAAAGAAAGAGAGGAGAACGAGAAGAAAGTGAGGGAGCAGAAGGAGAGAGAGAGAGGAAGGAGAAAGAGCTAAAAGAGAGGGAAGAGAGAGAGAGAAGAAGGAGAAGAAGGAGAAAGAGAAGAAGGTGAGGGGGCAGAAGAAGAGAGAGCAGAAGGAGAAAGAGGAGAAAGAGAATGAAAAGAAAGAGAAGGAGAAGAAAGAAAGAGAAGGAGATGGAGAAGAAAGTAACAGAGGAAAGAGAGAGAGAGGGAGCAGAAGGAGAAAGAAATGAAGGAGAAAGAGGAGAAACAGAGCCAACAGAAAAGAAAAGGTGGAGGAAGAGCAGAAAGTTCAAAAGAAAAGGAAAGGAAAAGAAAAGAAGAAACTTGAACTAAAACAATTGAACATTTCAAAAGCAAGTTCAAGGGACAAAGAAGTTTATGCTTGGATATTGGATGATAATGAAGAGACACAACATAAATTTTCACATTTAAGTTTTTTTTTTTGTCATTTAGTTTCAATTATTATTTACAATTTATAATTTATTGTTCTTTTTTGTTTATGTTTTTTCAGGTTTGAGACAATTTTCTAAAATGGTGATCTGATTTTAATGAAAGATACCATTAAGTCGTTAAGACCAGATTTCTATGTCAATGTGGCTGTTCTGGAGACCTGGTGCAGGAGTAGTAATTTCGGTGTTACAACTAATGTAACACTTGACGGATCATTAAAACTAATGAAAAAATTTTACTATATTTTTAGACTGAATTTGAGTCCACCGTGCGTGCACGGCGTGACCCAACTAGTATATATATATATATATATATAAGTGTGCTCAAATGAGAATGAAGCACTTAAATAAATTATTAGCTATGCAAATAAATTATTAGACTCTCTTTAGTTCAAACGATTATTTCAGAGTATATGAATGAAAAGTAAAAAAAAAAAAAAAAATTAGTAAGAAAATTACTTTCATTCTTTACGGGAAGTCTCAAGTGGATTTGGGATTTCATCTGGAGATGAGCCCTCAACGAATTTTGTGATTGTGGATACGGGCCTCACCCTATTTTGGGTGAAGCTACTCCTGAATGTGGAGCAAATGGACTTGGCAGCATTTTTTGTTAAAGCTAGGATCTTCATGGTGAAGTTTTGAAATGTAGTTTTGAAAGACTGGCGAGATATGTGAAGTTTTGAGAGGTAGTTCTGAATGACTGAGTTGAAACGTTGCAACAGAGATAGGGTTACATTATGTTTGAAGGGCCAAAATATGTTATTGGGCCTGCGCCAGGGCCAGGCCAATTTGAGATAGGGTTACATTATGTTTCAAGGGCCAAAATAGGTTAAAATTGGGCCTGCGCCAGGGCCAGCCCAATTTGAGATACTATTTTGGCCATTGAAACATAATGTAACTCTATCTCAAATTGGGTTGGCTCTGGCGCAGGCCCAATTAACCTATTTTGGCTCTTCAAACATAATATAACCCTATCTCTGTTGCAACGTTTCAATTCAGTCATTCAGAACTGTTTCTCAGAACTTCACAGATCTCGCCAATCTTTCAAAACTGCCTTTCAAAACTTCACCATGGAGATCCTAGCTTTAACCAAAAATGCTGCCAAGTCCATTTGCTCCACATTTCGGAGTAGCTTCACCCAAAATAGGGTGAGGCCCCTATCCACAGTCACAAAGTTCTTTGAGGGCCCATCTCCAGATGAAATCCCAAATCCACTTGAGACTTCCCATGAAGAAATGAAAGTAATTTTCTTACTAATTTTTTTTTAGTTTTCATTCCTATACTTTGAAATAATCGTTTTAATTAAAGAGTGTCTAATAATTTATTTGCATAGCTAATAATTTACGTTTTAGCACTTAAATACTCGGTTTTGCTATGAAGCCAACAGTTGGCTCCATAATGGAGCTAACTTTCTATATACAACAAATAAACTTACAATATTCACTGATTACTTAAATAACACTAATATAATTTTAACCTATTTTGGCCCTTCAAATATAATGTAACCCTATCTCTTTTGCAACGTTTCAATTCAGTCATTCAGAACTGTCTCTCAAAACTTCACAGATCTCGCTAGTCTTTCAAAACTGCCTTTCAAAACTTCACCATAGGAATCCTAGCTTTAACCAAAATTGTTGCCAAGTCCATTTGCTCCACACTCAGGAGTAGCTTCACCATAGGGATCCTAGCTTTAACAAAAAATGTTGCCAAGTCCATTTGCTCCACACTCAGGAGTAGCTTCACTCAAAATAGAGTGAGGCCCCTATCCACAATCACAAAATTCTTTGAGGACCCATCTCTAGATGAAATCCCAAATCCACTTGAGACTTCCCGTGAAGAAATGAAAGTAATTTTCTTACTAATTTTTTTTAGTTTTCATTCCTACACTCTGAAATAATTGTTTGAATTAAAGAGGGTCTAATAATTTATTTGCATAGCTAATATTTACGTTTTAGCACTTAAATACTCGGTTTTGCTATGAAGTTAACAGTTGGCTCCATAATAGAGCCAACTTTCTATATACAACAAGTAAACTTACTATATTCGTTGGTTACTTAAATAACACTAATATAATCTATCTATTATTATATAAAAAGGCAATCCAAATAATCCAAAAAAAGTAACTAAAAAACAATTAGATTTCCCGCTTAAAAATTTACTAGATATAGTAATTCTTTTCAAAATTTGAGAATATCCGCCTAGAAGTGTTTTCAAATTTTTTTTAAACCAAAAATAAATTCAAACATTAAAAAAAATAAGACAGATCTTTTTGTGTACACTCGATCCGTTTTATCTTATATAAATTCCATATAATCTACCACATCATGAAACCCCCAATCCTCACGGCCGAAAATCCCCTTCTCCTCCACCGAGATAGTTGTCGGCATGAGTGTTGGGCGGACCGTGTTGGACATGGCCATGTCGGTCTGGGTGATGGCCATGTTGGTGAGAACTGATTCAGCCTGCGTGGTTAGGAACGACCAGAGAAGGAGATGCAATGCTCAACTGAGCCTGGCCAGGCTTTGGCTAGAAAGCCGTGAACGTTTGTTCTTGGCTGAGCTCTCGAGTGTCGGACGGATATGGGTGTTCTGAGGGTAGATGTTGTTGATGCAGAACGGAAGAGACGAAGAAGAAAACATGCTGGCCAGAGAAGACGATCGGAAGTTGCAAGGCAGGCCGGAGAAGATCGGCGCAATTGTGGCAAAAATTTTGGGCAGAACAATTGGGCGAGATTTTTTGTGTGACGAGCCCAAGTTGAATTGGACTCCCGATGTTGATTGTGCGGAATATTACGCTGGACTTAGCGGGCTAGAAAGAGCGTGCTAGGCCGAGACGGTTGGAACGGATAGACGTCGGACGTGAGTTGCTTGCGGGAATTCTGTGCGGGCTACTGGAGATAGATGAACTCGCCATGACTGGTTGCCTCTTGCGCAAAGGGATGAGTGAAAGTGGCGCCAGACATGAACGATTCACGTCCAGGGGCGAAAGCACTTGGGGGGTCGGAGAGGCGCCGACCCCTCCCAAAAAAAAAAATTTAACTAGGGGTGGAGGATTTTGCTGGAACTTGAAGATTTTCCTTTGAACGCGCATGTTGGGCCCTCCTCGGTTTCATGCGGTACATACATGACCGGAGGAGCGCCACCGGTTTTGTCGTGAAATTTTTTTTAAAGGCAAATTGGCCCCTCCCCGAAACGGGATCCTGGTTTCGGGACAAGGAGAACTATAACAGCAGCATAATTTAATAATTTTTTCATTTTTATTATATTTTGAGTTGGTTAATTAGCCGACTTGCGGTGTACCGACGGGACTCAAAAACCGAGTCGATCATTACTGAAAAATACTTTTATGAAAGTACGGGAAGCGGAGAATGCGTTGGTGGCATCAATTTATGATTTTGAGGTCCCGACCATTTATTTTGGGTAGCCCGAAGTTGAGAGAAAAATGGCAGTGGCGGTGATTTTATTGTCATTTTCATGTCTAGACTTCGGGTAACCGTCGGCCCTCGTTAGACGTGCTGAAAATTAGCGGGAGTGCTTTCTTGAAAGCACGAGAACAGTAGCAACCATTCGTATAATTTATTTCACGTTTAGAAGTTTCGAGCATTTATTTTGAGAAGCTCGAAGTCGAGTGCGCATAATAGAAGAATAAAAAGTCGTTTTGTGGGGTTCCGTAAGGTTACGTGTGACCTCGGTTTAACGAGAATCGAGTTGGGGCATGTAGACAATTCAAGCACGATTCCATACGGACAAATTTCGCATTTTTCGGAGTTCCAAGCATTTATTACGGGAGTTTGAATTTCTACGTTAAATAGTATCAAAAGGAGCAAATTTGTCGAGGACGAGTTCGATCGTTCGAGGCTTCGTTTTCTCAATTTTTTCAGCTTTTCGTCTATTCGAAAGGATGTATAATTCTTGATTATTATTATAATTGAGTCCGAGATTTTATTAGTATAAATTCTAGAATTTTTTGAGTTAAAACAATTCAGTTTAAGTATACTAGTTTAATTCCGAACTTAGCTTGATTTTTAGAAAAATCTCTAGAGTATTTCTTTATATCCTGCGAAAATTTTTGAGAGCGTCCACAAAAGCCCGTGGGGCGCCCTTCCGATGCCGGAGTGGGGGTGGTGCACCGGGGGATGGCCGGAGTGGGGGTGGTGCGCCGCGGCAAATTGGGCCCTCCCCGAGATGACCGGCTGGTTTCGCCACTGTTCACGTCGGTGACTGATTTTGGTCGGACATGCTGAAGGAGGCTTGCGCGAGGGTGCTGTGTTGCTGGTCAGGGAAGCGACTGTTGTGGCACGGAGAAGATGACTTTTGCCAGAGAAAAAAGGTTGCGTGACTTTGGTCCGGGGAAGGAGACGTGCGTGTTTCTGCCTCGAACTTTTCCGACCGTGAAAGTCGGCAAATTTGTTGTCGACTGAGCGATTCTTTGGCAGACGTACGTGAACGGAATTTATGTTTGAGCGAGAAGAATTTGTGTACGCGTGAAGATCTGGACTAATAGGAAACATATCTCCAACTTCAAATATTTTTTCCTTATTTATTTGATTTATTTTCAGTTTTATCATCATTATTCATTTAATATGATTAATATTTATTTATAGGATGTGCATATTAATTATCTAATGTGTATGATAATCAATAATTGTTATTGGTAGCATAAATAATTAACTACAATAAATATATAATATACATAATATTTATTTATAGGATGTGCATTAATTGTTTAATGTGTATGGTAACTAATTTATTGCTATTGGTAGCATAGATTTATGGTAATTATTCAAAATATTATAATTACATAATGTATTTTGAATTATTCTTTAAAATTATGACTCCATGACGTGTTTTGGTTTTTTTTTTTTTCATTATTTTTTGTACATTAACAATATTATTTTGGAAAATTCTTCATTAGAAGCTATAGCTACAAATTGTAGATATAGTGACAACAATGTAGATATAGTGGCAAGTAAATTTTTCACTAGAACTCTATTTTGTTGTAGTGCCACCACACTTGGTTGTCGAAATTTATCAAACTACAACACTTTTTTAAAGAAACTTTTCATTTTTTTTTTTCAAAAAAATCACACCATCAATTGGGTGTCTATATTTATATAATTACAACACAATCTTACCAATTTGGAAATAATACAAATCTATATGGACAATTTAAATTATTTTTGCCAAATAAGAAATTTCGGAAAATCTTGACGGTATAAATTTATCTATCATAAATTACTGATATTACTATCTAATTAATAATGTTTTTTTTAGGCTTAATATATTTAAAATTGTCATAAATCATATATATATGATTTTTTTAATATTATGAGGTAGGATAAATTCTAAAAACTGAATAAAATGCATATATGGAACAATCTAAATTTACATAAATAGAATAACTTTTTCTTAAATGGAAAGTCAAATTTTAGTCAAACTTTGTTAGCATTACTTACTTTATATTACTAGCAAATTATTACTTTGTTTCATGAATTCATGCATGCAACATTAAATGTGTTAGACTTTTTTTTAAACTTTTTTTTTTTCAAATCGCGTACTGCATTTTCAATCTTCGTATAATGAGACGTGTGTTATCTATACTTTCGCATAAAGCGGTTGTCCATTTTTTAATTTCACACAATCTGAACAAAAAGCTCGGCAAGTTTAAAAAATCATTGGTAGCATAATTCTACACGAGTTTATCTCTTATTTTTTAATTTCACACAATCTGAACAAAAAGCTCGGTAAGTTTAAAAAACCATTGGTAGCATAATTCTACACGAGTTTATCTCTTATTTGTTACAAAATCCCATTACAAGGTTTAAAAAAACTCATCCCTTATCTATACAAGTTTGAAAAAATGAGTTTAAAAAATCACATCTCTTATCTATACAAATTTTAAAAAATAAAATAAAATAAAAAATCAATTCATAATTACTGCTAGAAATCTATTATCTACTTTAAAAAGCTAATTTTCATGAGTCTAATTACTAATATCTTTACAAATATTACAAACTAACAATACATCCTCGATACCAACTAAAAAGTATAATAATAATTTTGAAATTGTGTGTAATCAATTTTTTTTAATGGAAGTAACGCCATAAATTCGGTATTATCTGACATTATGTCTTTATTAAATTTAGCTTATAATATTTTAGATACTTTAAAAAAATCATTTAGACATTTGTTTTACATATTTGTCTATATATGCATATACACATATACATAATTGATGTTAAATTTAAATATTTGTAGACATGTTTTCTTTACAAAATAGTCTAGAAATTTTTTTTTTTACACAATGTTAAATTCAAATATTTTTTGATATATTTCCTTCTAAAATTGTTTACAAAAGTTGTAAACTTTTGAATACTTTTACATATACTAATATAATATTTTAGGTGTTTTTAATATTAAACATACAAATTTTATATTCTCTTATATGAAATAATGTAAATTTTATATTCCCTTATACAAAATAATTTTACGTTGTTTGACTCTGAATCTTTAATTTATAATTATTAAGTATTGTTTATCCTCTTCTTTAATTTATAAGTATGTTTTTTCTTCTTCTTTTTAAATAAGATCAATAGTAGTTTCCACTTCCGTCAGTGACTCAAACTCGAAGTCTATTTATAATATTGTTAATTTAATATTGTTCCCGTGCATCGCACGGGGTACAAACTAGTTTTATTAATATGGTAGGTTTACTTACTGAATATAGAAGGTTGGCTCCACTATGGAGCCAACTGTTGGCTTCATAGCAAAACTGTTGACATTACTTCGACTAAAAGATCGAAATATTTTTTTAAAAGATTTATGCAACTGTTTTTTCCTAAAAAAACTGATATGAACTTAACAAAAAATTGATATGAATTTAACAAAATGTTGGTAAAATAAAGTTAAGAAAAACATAAGAATCCAAAAACATCGGCGCATTCATATTTTAAAAAGTTGCGCACGATTTGATTTGAATTTCTTTCCTAAATATTTGGATTAGGTTTGATTTTAAATGTCAAAGATGAATCGCTTTGTTACCAAAAAGTGGATAAGATTTTGAATGTATATCCCATCCAAATTTCAATTTTGTTTTATAATAACGAATGCGCGTAGTTTTATCCAATTTGCACATATTTTTTTAAAGAAAAAAATTATCCATTAATTTGTTAAGAATTATACAATAAGATTTGAATAATTTGTTAAGAATTATACAACTATTTATTTCCTAAATTTGTATCCAATTTGCACGATTTACCACATGAAGATCAGAAAAAGTTCACACCACATATTTTAATAACTAAACAAGTGAAAAGCCGAAACAAAACTAACCTGTGCCCCAACAAGAAGGTTCTCCGACTTGATGTCTCGATGTATCACATGCTTCCCGTGACAATATATAAGTGCCCGAGCTAATGATGCAATATACTGTTTCGTGTTCCAAAAAACAAACAAAAAACCATTATAATAGCACCAAGCAGATCAAATCTTCAAGAATCCAAAATGTATCATATGCCTAACCATAGAAGTATTTACAACTCAAAATACATTCCATAATATTAACTGAGAGCAACAAGATACAAACGAATTAGTAATAGGCTAGACTTAGACGTACTGTAGCAGCTTGTAGCTGTTTGTAGAGTTCGCCCTTTGCAGCATATTCCAGAATCAAATAAACTCTTTTCTGCAGTTAATGTGATATACAGTTAGTCCAGACAGCAGCATTTGGTTTGAAACTCCTTAACTAAAAAGAAAACCCTCATACCTGATCGTAAAAGTAACCATAGAGTCGTAATATGTTCGGATGTCGAAGATGGCTCTGTATTTCCACTTCACGACGAAGCTGATCCTCAACCTGAGATGCTTTCAGCTGATCCTTGAACAATACCTTTAGTGCCACAATTTTTTTGCTCTGCTTGAAGAAAAGAGAAAAACAAAAACTTAGCAATCAGACCCTTCAAAAATTTCTCCCAACACAAGCAAATAAAAGCAGAGTTACATCTTTCACCTCTCTAACTCCTTCACATATAATCAAGCAATTGACCTAAACCATCAAGAAAGCCATTTGAAAATATAAAACTTCACCGAGGAAAGACTCAGTTCAGATAATAGCTAACTTGGCAATTATTCACATGCCATATATACTCTGGTTATCATGCTATACACAGTTAAATTAACATATTTGTTGTGCTAATCATAACAAACAAGAACATAAAATTAAATGGATAAGCTCATTAATTTGAGAAAACTGACCCTTTTTTCTCTAGCAACATACACATGTCCGAATTTTCCTCTGCCAAGAGGGCTTCCCAACCTCAAAGTCGTCGATGCACCACCTCTTTTTCTCTGCTGCCGTGCTCTCGGAAGAATCCTATTAAAAAGAAAGACAAAAAAAAAAAAAGAACATAAGTATCCGAACATAAAGACTAACAATACACCTACAGGGTTTAAAGCCCCGTATTCTAAAAATGATGGCTTAGAGTGGTGAATATGCAGAGTTCAATCAAATACTTTTTGGCTGCACCAAGCTCAAACTCGAATAATGGGACGAAAATGAAATTATCCGAATTTCGTTCTTTTGTTGTTTGCAGGTTCTGAATGCCGGTGCAAAGATCACTCTAAGCCCTAATATCGAATCGGATTTCTTCAACAAAATGCAGCAAAATTGAATCTTAAAAACACGCCAGCATCAAGAAAAAATGGAACATTCTATAATCAATTTCGAATCAACAAAAGAACGGAAGAAAGTGACAATCGAATACATGAAAATTGATGAAATCGTTGTAGAAGAAAGATAAATTTTAGAAAAATTCAGGGAATTCGAAAACAAAAATCGAGAAAAAGAAAACCTAGATTTATCCAGATTCTTGATTCTCTTACCTTGCGTTCTTGTTGAGACGCGGTGGTGATCGCCATTGCAGAGCAAAGCACGCACTCAAACGCTCAAAATGTGTGCGTGTGTGTGAGAGTGGGAGAGAGAGAGAGAAATAAAGTGAAGCGAACGGTGGTGGATGTGGTGAGGATGTAATTCGAAATGGTTTTCTTTATTTATTTTTTTTTTTTGGTACAGGAAACATTCGATTTTCGGATCCACAGGAGAACCGACTAATTTAAAATCGAGTCGGATAAGACCAGAAAAAGAAGAGAGAGAAAGACAAATAAAGTGAAGCGAACGGTGGTGAATGTGGTGAGGATGTAATTCGAAATGGTTTTCTTTATTGGGATGAAGCTAACGGTCATATTTGAAATGGATGTATTTACACGTGGTTTGTTTCGCTTTTCAAATTAATTTTTGGAATAATTGTGTATATATAATTTTTTTTCTTTCTATCAAATAAATATAAATAAATGTGTCTCCGGAGGAGCGTCTACTCTCTAGGAAGGAACAATGTCATAACCGTTAATAATATTATTAGGTACTTGAAATAATATTTATGTTTTCTTGGAAAATGTTACGGTCTTGTTATGGTACTGATGTAGGAAGCGTACGAATAGAAAGAATAATCGAGATACTCTCTCGTTAAAAACACACAAAACCTAAATTTCAGATATATTCTTCAAAATCAACTGACTGACTACGCTAGGGATGAGATTAATAATCGAGATACTCTCTCTCCTAATGTTGTTTATCTTGCCTAACAAGCTAGGCTAGATATTTATTTACTTACCAACTATAATAAAATAACTAAGGTAATAAAATAAAAATGAACAATAATAATAGGAAATAAATAATCTAAATACGAAGCCTATTATATTTATTTAGAAATGCAATCGCAGTCTCGTCTCCATCAGGTACCATCTCGTCGGGTGTCTTAATCGTTGCATTCTACGGTCAAAACACCTGACGGGAAGATACCGTAACGGGACCGTAGCATTTTTCATGTTTTTAAAATAGTACTAATATTGTTGTAAATCGTCTTTGGGTTTATGAAAATTTTAATTCGTCTTTGGAATTGGTAGATTTGAAAGTCAAGTATATATATATGTAATTTGATTATCAAGTGAGACACTAATTTTACTTGTTTGAAATGACAAAAGAACTTTCTACGGATGTTTTAACTTGAATGTTGTCCACTTACGACCTTAATTGGATTGAGTACTAATTACTTAAAATGTGTATAGTACTATATAAATTAAAGTATTAAGTCGGGCAATCATTTACTTTAGGTATCATATTGACAAAAATGACTATAATTCAATTACCAAATTGACAAGAATGACTAATTCAACTACCAAAGAATCATAGGTATGTATATGGTTTTAAAAATCAAGACAGCTAATTATATACCTTTATAGAAAATATAACAATTCTTGAACATATCAACAACTTATATTTGCGAATAATATGTTGTATTTACACAGTTTTGCTATGGAGCTATCAGATGGCTCGATTTATGGAGTTATCTACAGTTATTCACAAATAGTGTATTGACACGTATCCTATAATAAATACACTTTGGACATGTGTCAATACATTAAGTGATTCATGTCTCCATAAAAAAATCACCCGATGACTCCACAGAATTTGTGTATTTACATGCCCATACCCACACAATGTCTTAAAAAAAAGCATATTTCAGCAGACACATATTGTTATACATAAGTATTAATTAATGTATGTTTGAGATTAAATTTTCTACTTTACAATGATTTGTTAAAGAAATAATTTATCAAAAAGTCATTAGAAAAATAATTGCCAAACAATTACTATTGACAGTGATGGCCGCCTTGCACGAGGCCCATGAGCAGCCTCAAGCAAGGAATTGTAGTTTCAAATTGACAATTACTTTCGAACCCCAATTCTAAAATAAAAGGCCCGATAAGTAGAAGGCCTTGAATAAAGCCCAATAGGTTTTAAAAAGTTGCGCATGATTTGATTTGAATTTCTTTCTTAAATATTTGGATAAGGTTTGATTTTAAATGTCAAAGATGAATCGATTTGTTACAAAAAAGTGGATAAAATTTTGAATGTATATCCCGTCCAAATTTCAATTTTGTTTTATAATAATAACGAATGCGCGTAGTTTTATCCAATTTGCACACATTTTTTTAAAGAAAAAAATTATCCAATAAGATTTGAATAATTTGTTAAGAATTATACAACTATTTATTCCTAAATTTGTATCCAATTTGCACGATTTTTTTAATTAATTTGTATTCGAAATTGTTTTCATGAATCTCCAAACTTGTTAACAAAATAATAGGATTCAGATTTTGGTAAAAAAAAATAAAAATAAAAATGAAACGAAAAAATGTGATTCAGATTTTGGAATATGAATCTCCAAATTTGTTACAAAAAAATAGGCTTTAGATTTTGTTATTAAAGATCTACATGTGTTTTTTTTTTCAAAATTCAACTAATAGTAAGTCAACTCTTTTATTATTATGGTCAATGTTACTAAAAATGATTTAAACAACAACCTTTTTATATTCGTATAGATAATAAACCCGATATTTTGGGAGATATCATGTCCATACGAGCACAGATTCCCTAAATCTTGAGATCTCCTAAAGGATTCTTTACCTAATAAACTCTAGATTCCTATTAGGAAAAATATCAAGACTAGTCCCGTTGGTTATGGGTTTTCCACTTTTGGTCACATTGGAATTGTGTTTCTCAAAATCAGTCTCAAACATTTTAAATCAATCAAAATCTATATATATATAATTACTAGCTCACGCGCATTTAATAAAACCTCAAATTTTTTCCCTCCAAAAGAGGTTACTTTGCATTAATTAAGTATTTTTTTTATTTATTTTATTATATAGCAATTACTCCTAACAAATCATAAAGCCACACTAAATGAAATTATAATTTAAATTTTTTTTCAAACTATTTATTTGATTTTTATTTTTATTTTAACTCATTAAGCAAGTATTTTTTATCAACATGAGTTATTTAATTTTTATGATATAACCAAATTTTCAAAATTACTATAATAATAATAATAATTATTTCAATATTATTTTATATAATCAATTGTTCATACTAAAAAAGTATTGCAAAAATTATATAACTGCAATCGATATAAAAACTAATATGTAAGTTAATAGTTTGTCGTTCATTTTTACTAATGATAAAATTTATAAAATGTGATATGCTATTATATAACTTATGATTTTAAATATTACATACACATACATATAACATATAAAATTGTATTTGCATCTGTGCATGTGCACATGATCGAATACTAGTAGAGACAATTATTGCTAGAACTGCCTTTTTCGGCTTGGAAATGACACGTCATGGCGATATGTCTTAATAATATTACAGCTGGTCCATTTAACACACACGTGACATCTGACATGGAAAAAATATCGATATCAGTCCCATAATTATAGAGATGTTACAATAATAGTCCCATTAAAAAAAAAACTATTTTCTTACATTAAAAAAAATTATTCTTATTATTAATATTTACTAGTAATCTTTATGTGATATCGTAACCAAAATATTTAAGTAATA